ACACACACACAGTAACCCCGAAAAACATGATCAGCACTCAGCTGCCCGTGTTACATTATCCTTCGTCTCGGTTCTTCCAACACGCACAGCCGTGTCCATTTGTTTTATTTTGGTTTGTCGTTGTTGTTTTTGTTTCCTTTATATCTCTGGCCCCAATCCATCCGGTCTATGAGGCTCGACTTGTCAACTAAAACCACACGGTTCGACTGTTAGCAGGCCAATGCATTTGTTTTCTTCTCTCCACTCGGCCTGCTCAGCATAGCTTTTTATGCCTTCCCCCACATCTCACCTTTATTTTCTTCACTTGTGTCGAGCTTCCTGATTCCCGATTAGACGGACTATCTGTAGTTGCCGTAGAATATCATGCTGTCTTTCATGTAAAACCTCTTCTATTGAAATGTTTTGTCCGATAATGGTATGGCCAAACACAAGGTGTTTTTAACTCATTGATAAATAAACTGACCGGTGTGAGTGCATAAGATGAATCATGTGCGTTGTAAATCAGAACTCATCGCGTAGAGACGATATTCTAATGTTTGTTGGCATGTTGTGATTGCTTCCGCTGAGTCTCTATATACGTTTCTCAAATGATAGATTGAAGTGTTCCTTGGTGTCGGATGGGTGGCATGTAGGTAATTCAGAAGGCTTGATCAAAATACTTCGAGAGTCTCATTCAGAAATTGACTGGTTGACTGTAGTTCAGCCAGCGGCTTTAATGCTCATGTTTTCTTGTCGAAAGGCGTCTTCCTGTTTGACTGGTGTAGCACAAACCATAGGAGCAGGTAAGAACATGAAGGTAAAGGGGTGAAGTGAGTGGGAGTGTATGTTTAAAATGAAACAGTGCTGCCGATGATACATCCGTTTCGATCGCTTATTGTCGCGCTTGGCTGATTTTATCTGTCACTTAACTGCGTAATCCTCTGTGAATGCTGATTGTAGGCGGTGGTTTCCTGCTCACTTGCGCCGTCTATCGTTTGAGCCTGCCCGGTTGGAGCTGGTCCATTTAGCCATTTCCGCGAAAATTATCGTTGATTTGTTCTGATTGCGTATTCATTATTATGTACAATTTTCATGGTTATGTTCAATCAACGTCCTTACACTGTTTCGTGTCATGCACAATTCTATCCGGCTCCTGATTTTTTGAACTCGGATGGGAAATATGATCATGTAGTGGAGTGGATACCGACAAAATGTGTGGTAGATCTATGTCATTTCGATGCAAATAAAAATTTGTCTGCAGTTCCACCAGATGGTTTAACCAGTTTCAGTTTTTACAATCATTAACCACGCGCTTTCATGCACCGGTTTTGGTTGCTGTCTTTTGGCTTCTCATTTGGATAATGGAGCAATTTGAATATTAGAGTGTTGAGAGCAAATTTAAGGGGAAGATGGAGTGTTTACATAGACTAGGATTGCAAAAATACTGAGTAGATGCGCAAGCGCCACTGTTTGCAACACTCAGGCATAGCACCTAGTGTCTCTAATCCCCGGTAACCATAACCTCGGGATCCCCATCCAGGGAGCTTCACGGGATCTATGTTAACCAGTCTCCCGGCTAGGGTTTTCATACCCTCATGTCAGGTCTTAGTTTGACCGCCCTTACCCTTTTCCCACCGCTGCCTGCCTCGGAAAACATCACTCTCCATGGCAACCTACTTGACGACATGCGCAACACATGTGTCAACCAGCGTAATCTATGTGGGTCGATCACTTGCTCCAGTGGGCGACAGCTATCACTTATAACTGTGCGCCTAGCCTTAGCGTTGCTTGTCCGTTTGCCCCACCAAGTTCGTGTTTTGCGGCGTAGACAGCCCCGTTCGAACACCGAAAAATCTATTTTTGTTCTAGTCAGTTGCTTAACAATTGTGTGTCCGAATTCACATCCCGATGCATCATGTGAACTTGTACTTCCAAAGATTCCCAGTCAGAGTACATCCCGCGATAACATTTTCGTACTCGTCCCCTGAGTTCCCCTCAGATCTCCTTTCGAACTAACAAAACAACAGCTTTGGGTGTCCGTGCACTAGTCTAGCAAAAAGCCTTAATATACAACTTCGCTTGGTTAGATTTAATTAAAAGGAAATTTCTGATCACAAATGTAAAACAATGTTGCAATAAAAGCATTGTTGATCCTTTTAAATGTTCAGTAACACGTACTTGTTGATTGATAGTAATTCCCTTTTCGGATTGTCCTTAAATTCGTCCTTCGATTCCTACATTTTTAAGTTGTGGTATTTCCTTCGGATGAGCAAATCTTAAGTGCTCTGCAACAGATTAAAGATATAGGTCGCCTTCAGGCCATACCATGGTCGAATCGGATTCGTGAACTGCCACGTTATTCCATTATAATGCGACTTCGCCTAACTGTTATCTGTCGATGACAACCGTAATTGGCACCCCCATGTGTAAACCTACGCATACACCACACAGAATATTGAGGTCGTTCGGACCGTGTACCGTGACTACATTGACAACCATCAGTGAACCCCTGTCATTGATTTCTGCGGCTCGTCTTTGCTCGTATAATGTTTGTCGTTTTACGACTCATCTGATCCGTCCAAGTTCGATTTCCTTTCACTGTACTATACGAATTTCCATTTTTTCCATCGTGCAACTTGAGTTTGTGCGTAAAACAAAGGGCCCTCTATTTGAGCTGTTGTGACCACTACCGTGCTTCACATTTTTATCTACTCCATCCATGACGAGTTTGCCAAAGTTCGTTGTGTTGTTCGATTTCAAATGGAATTGGCGGTCATCTGCATCCTATTCTCGTGCTGCGATTACCAAGACATCGCAAAAGAGTACGCTTTGATTGGTTGCATCGTTACCCTGTTTTGTGTATACTTCACTCCATTTGATAGTGCGTTTGGATTTGCCGTCGTTCAATATCCGAGAGTCTGCTTCAAGTGGTCATGATAGCTAGCGCTGGAGCTTGTCCGGCTAAACGTCCAGGTAACTGTGACTATTCAATCAAGGCTTGGTTCAAATTCAAACGTCTCCACTCTTTCTTTCACATGTTTACTCAAGTTTTCAGTGTCAGGTACAGACGGACCTCTTTGGAAATGTCCTAAAATTGTTTCAAGTTTGTATTGATAACTGAAGGCTCTACACTAGAAAAATTTCGCATCATCTGGATGAAACCCTAGGAGGAGATTGATGCTTTTTATTTTTGTGTTACATGTTCCATCGTATTTTCTTTTTGGCGAAAATTGGAAAGGTGAACTTTCGCGTTCACACTTTTTATTGGACTTTTGTACGGACAATCCAAAACAGCTGTTATGTTGCACCCAGAATTGGGGATACTGCGACAAACTATGGGAATACGAACTTTTCATCGCGCAGTGTATAACGGCTGTTTGATACCTTCAGAGTTTCGGGGCTGAGGCATTATGATTGTTCCAAGTCTGGTTAAGAGAGCACATCTCGAAATGAGTTTTCATCGTGATAGAATCAGTTTTATTGTGTATGCCAAACGAATTTGTATGCCGTCGGTGAGACTAAACAGATGAACAACTATGGATTGAGCTCAAGCAACCCAAGTGCCCGAGGCACAGGTTTATTTTACTGGAGTAGAACCTGGCACGTCAGTCTTGTATGATTAATTTTACTGATGTGCTGACCACTTAGTATATTGTGTATACCATCTTAGGATGTAGCACGCCTCGATCTGATGGTGAAAAGCAACTTAGTGTGTTATTTTTGGACGGGTGTGGTCTGTCAGTCGCCGGAAGAGATCATTCGAGCTGAGTGGTCGTATAACACGACAACTGGGTTCAACTACGGTCCTGTTTGAACAATGCTTGACTTCAAAATGCCGCCTTCCACGTGAGTCGAAACATCCTCACCAAAAATTAATGCATTTTGCTTTTCTTTCTTCACGGCCAATGCAAACGTTCCTACACGAATCTAACGCTTGATAAGGTTGTCTGGCGTACACGCATTTCTGCGGTTGGGTGGTTCATACTGCCTTTGAAGAATGTATGTTCATCTTCATCACAGATAGTGGAACCACCACGTCGATGCTTCATCGCTGTACGATGATAATGATGATGCTTCACCGCAGCCCACGCTTGGTAAATCACTGATTTTCTGACTATTTTGCACTAACACTGTCAGCAA